AGAGCAAGAGCGAGAGAGAGAGATTGCTTGTTTAAAATTATCTCCCGCGTCATTAGCGGCGAACACTTTGTTAGACTGAAATATTAAAATATTTAAAACGTTAAAAATCTATCCGTAAATGTCACAAATAACCAAAAATATATTAAAAATCAAAGCATAAACATTATGCTCTAAATGTCTAAAACCTATTGTATAAACATTATGCATAATTAATATATTCACAACCCTCCCCCAATACATTTTTCAGTGTTTATGGGGGGGACACGTACCTTCGTCTTTGGTCTGAGAATGTTGCACATCTTTCCACTATATGTGCGACCGTTAATGGCTCTTGGCATTCTTCACAGCGTGTTTCACTTTTAGCCATCATCGGCCCATGTATCAGACTTGTGTGCCCAATTCTCAGCCTTGTTAATACAACTTCTACTTGTCGGCTGGGATGGATGCTGGTTACCCAACTGCCAAGGTCATCTCTAACCACTCGCAGTTTGTTTCTAGAGGTATGCCTCCATTTATCACGAAGACAACTCCTTGAGCATCACAGGGCTGAGTGGCAGCTGCCTTGGCCTTCCGATCAGCTCGCTCATTCCCACTGATACCATGCTGGCACCCAAGGCAGAGTTATCTTTTTACGTGCTGACATCAGTGCAACCCAATCTTGAACCTCCCTCACCAGTGGATGTGATGAGTTTAAGCTCTTGGTTGCTTACAAGGCACTGCGAGAGTCATAATATATTACAACTGAATGGTTTGTAAGATGTAAGAGGCTGATCGAGAAAGACTGCCAGATGCAGTCTTCCTTCTGCTCACTGCTGCAAAGCCCACACCATTTTCAGATTTTGAATCATCAGTAAATATTGCATCTGATCCTTGAAGTGTATCGAAGATATCTCTCTCTGATTTTTGCTTCGGATCTCTCCCCTTTCCCTATTCCGACCAAATTCAAATCTAGCTCGACTTGATTGGTCCAAGGGGGAATTGGGGAGTTCCAACAGCCAGAACCTTTGTGAGATTTAAATTAAGATCTTCCACAAGATTCCTCATTCTCCTACCATAGGATCGGCTATCCTCAAGGAGGTTGAAAACCAATCTGGCAGTAGGAGATCCCAGAATGCTTTGTAATCTAGTGTAGTAAATCAGGTTCATGTAGTCCCGGTGTAATGAAAGAGGTGGTTCTCCACTTTCAGCGTACAGGGACTCCACAGGTGAAGACCTGAAAGCCCCTGTACAGATTCTGAGAGCTTCATTGTGAACTGAGTCCAACATTTGGAGAACAGTGGGAGATGCAGATGAATAAGCCTCGCATCCATAGTCAAGTTTACTACGAATAAGTGCTTGGTAAAGCCGCAGAAGCGTTGTGCGGTCTGCACCCCAGGATAGGTGTGAAAGAACCCGCAAAATACTAAGTGCTTTCGTAGCTTTCACCTTTAACTGTTTGATGTGAGGCATCCATGTAAGCCTTGAGTCAAAAATTAGACCCAAGTACTTCACCTCTTGGACAAAATACAATGGGTTTGCTCCTAAATAGAGGAAAGGATGGAACTTTCCTCGTTTGTGGAAATGCATAGCTATGGTCTTGCTTGGAGAAAATTTGAACCCATGGTATGTTGCCCATTGCACTACCTGATTTATTGCAGTCTGCATGTGTCCTTGCACATCCTGTAAGCTTCCTCCTGAGCATTTATAGCAATGGCAAACAGGGTCACACTTAAGACACTCCCTTGTGGGACTCCTTCCAGGTTAGAGAAACTGTTTCCCACCGTTACTCTAAACTTCCTGTATGAAGGTAGGCAATGCTCCTCTTAAACCAGTGTCATACAGCTTCATTAGTATGACATGCTTCCAAGTAGTATTATAAATCTTTTCAAGGTCAAAGAAGACTGCTAACATATGACGTCGCTGTGTGAAGGAATTCTGTATAGCAGTTTCCATCCTCACAAGTGCACCTGTGGTCGTTCTCAGTTTTCTAAACCCATATTGATATGGGGTCATCACGTTTTCCTTTTATAGTAGCCATGTCAACCTGAAATTTACCATTTTCTCCATCAACTTGCAAATGCAGCTGGTGAGAGAAATTGGTCTATAATTCCCTGGTATGGAAGCATCCTTGCCAGGTTTCGGGACAGGAATGATTATAGCTTCTTTCCATGTGGATGGCACTGTTCCCTCCCTGTAGATCCTATTGAATAGATCCAACAGGAACGTTTAGGAGCTCTCCAGTAAGTGAGATATAATTTGGTATGGAATATCGTCACTTCCTGGGGCAGTCTTACGGCAGAGCCACAAAGCAGAGTACATCTCTTTGCGCAAAATGGCAAGTTGTATGGTAGTTCTGCTGCAGTTCTACTGAAGAATGTTACTGGGTGTCGTTCCTGTTCAGCCCGAAGAGTGGAGAATCGGGCAGTGTAAGATGCTCCATAGGAGATTTCTGTCATGGATTTTGCCAGCTCATTTGCAACATCTGTTTTGTATGTGAGGATTATGCCATCTATTTTCTGAGCAGGTGGTGATGTGGATGTACTCTTTCCAGTGATCTTACACACCTTGTCCCATACTCATGCTAAAGGAGTCCCAGAGTTAATCAAGGTGACATACTGCTTCCACGATGTCTGCCTAGCTTCCTTTAGCACTCGCCTGGCCTTGGCTTGGGTCTTTTTGTACTGGATCAAGGTTACATCACTTGGGCGTCGTTTCAACTGCCTTAATGCAACTTTTTTTGCTCTGACAGCTTGTTGGCATTCATCAGACCACCATCGTATCGGAGGTCGACGGTACTGCCCGCTACTTCTGGGAATTGGTGCTTCTGCTGCAAGGTGAATTTCTGATGTGAAGTGATTAACAGCATCTTGAACGCACTGGAAATCATTCAAAGATCCTTGCAATACTGCAGTTGATCTAAAAAGATTCCAGTCTGCATGTTGACGTCGCCATCTCTGCACTCCATTGGCTGGAATACCATTCACCTCTTCCAATAGTATTGGAAAGTGGTCACTTCCATATAAGTCTTCCATGACCTGCCAAGTGAAATTCAACTGTGAATCAGGTGAATCAATTGACAGATCAATATTGGAGAATGTCCCAGTTTGAATATGGAAATGTGTGGGTGCATCACTGTTCAGTAAAACTGCATCAACCCTTGAGAACAAGGACTCTAAGGCCCTTCCTCGAGGGTTGCACAAAGTGTCTCCCCAGAGGTGATGCCTACCATTGAAGTCTCCCAAGAGTAGAAATGGATGAGGCAACTGCCCAAGTAAATCTAAATCATCTATGTTGAGATTATGTGGAGGGAGGTAGATGGATCCTACAGTGTAAGGTCATGTCAAGCCTATTCTCACAGCCTTCAGTGTCGTCTGCAGGTGGATGGCCTGGAAGGGAATATCCTAATGTACCATCACTGCTACTCCTCCATGAGGTCCATTATCAAAGGTCCCATAATGGGCTTGATCTTGGAATCCTCTCAGGGAAATTGGACGATTTTCCCTGGTCATAATCTCTTATAGGCATACACAAACTGGATTGCATGAATTCCCTGGCAGTTCCACTGGATTAGGGTATCCAGTTCTTCAAGTTGACGAACTACTTCATTAGGTGTTTGGCAGCATCTGTGGTTAAGGTCCGCCCCACTCCTTTAGGCTGTCCCTTTCCAGCATCTTGGGAGTACCTTTTAATGGGTTGTTTACCTGTGGAACTAGTTTCCACAGGCTTCCTTCGGACAGGCTCTGGATTTATTTGCTTGGGCAAAGGACGGGCCTGAGCCTTCGGTTCAGGAGCATTCTGGCTAGCAGCGGAGGCCCCTGTGGATGTGATGTCCTCTGGAGCCCTTCCTAGTGGCTCCAAAGACCCGACTCTATGAGGAGTCTTTTGAATAGGCTCAGGATTCCTCTGCCTGTGCAAAGGGCGTACCTGAGCCTTTACTTCAGGGGCATTCTGCCTAGCAGTAGAGGTTCCTGTTAATATGGTGGCAGCTGAAGCTGTCACCGTTGAGGCCTCTGGAGCCTTAACTGATGGCTCCAAAGACCTTGCTTTGGGAGGAGGAGTCTCCTCAATAGACCCTTCACTCCTACTCTGTTTCTAGTGGAACTGTAGTGACCCATACGGCGCCATGCGTGCCGGAGCAAGAATTGTTCAAGTCTCCCCTTGAAGAAACTGGGGAAAATATCCACCCGGCCGCTCAGACGATGTTGCCGCCTTCATTTTTTATTGTATTTTTATTATTTTTAATGTTTTTATTGTTAAATAAATATTCATGGTCTTAATGAAGAGGAACCGTCACCATTTTCTTTTTTCTTATTCTTTTGAGCACTCCCTTTTTACTTTAAAGCTAATTGAAGTTATTAATCTTAATATTTTCTTTTAAAACATCCTTTTGGTAGCTTTTAATGGGGTTAAGGGGTTTTAACAACAAGGATGTAAGGTTAAAAACAAGTTTTAATGGGCTAAGAACTGCCACGCCATCTAGGGAGGGGGGAGGTGTTTAGCTCGTTCCCGGGCTAGTTACTAGCCATTAGCTAAGATCCTTGCTGGGGGTCGGCTATATATAGCCCGGGGACCGAGCGGATCTCAGCAGGGGGTCTGGATAGTATGCTCGTCTTCGCGGCCGATGTATACCCGGCGGAAGCGAAGACGTTGCTTTGTTGTATTGTTCCCTGCGGTCGTAAGGACGGTTTTATATGGCGGTAAGGTGGGGTATTTTAAACTTTCCTTCTTTTTTATAGTATTACAGAGTGCTCTTTTTATGGTGTTTTAGGTTCTATTTTTATTGTTTTATTTTGTGTATTTTTTTGAGTTCTGTAAGAGTTTTAGTGTTAACTTTCATAAGTAATAAATGTATTTTAAGGCTCGCAAGTGAAATCCCTTTTTATTAAACCCTTTCTTATGAGACTACATGATACTT